GAAGTGGCGCTGTGGCTCAAGTGGTAGAGCGCTAGCCTTGAGCTGAAGAGCTGAGGGACAGCGCCCAGCCCAGAGTTCAGGCCCCATGACCAGACCCCCCCCCCAAAAAAAGAACCATTCCTACATTCCTAATAAACCCAAATGTTCATATGGCTTTCTAAAATTCCAATACAAAGGGGTCAGATGGGCAAATGTCACAGACTGGCACAGACGCCACGCTCTGAGGGGGCTCACAGAGTCTACCACATGGCCACAAGCCAGTGACTGCTCCATGGCCGCCCAGGCCATGGGCATGGGCTGGGGCTGAACTAGGGGCATCTTCACGCAGGAACTTCTGTCCCCACTCCTTCAGAAGATTAGTAGCTTAACCCCTCCAGGGAAGATTCAAGTCCCTTCAGATTCTTTGTCAGAAGACAACAGGCCTCCTTAATAGAAGGTGCTAGAAGAACATTGGTAGAAAAGTACTTTCCTTTAGTCCTAATTTTTTTCTAGTTTGAATTTTTGTCCGGCTTTCCCTTGCTTCTACAACATAGCAGCCAGGGAGTCTTCTGTTAATGACCCAGGAATATATACACCCCCAAGAAGCTGTAGTAGGCACCCCAAGCAACTAACAAATACTTCCTCCTGCCCAGTGGTGCACCCCTGGAGTGACCAGTGGGTGATTGCCTGCCCACTACCTCCAGCCTTCCAGTTTACCACAATCTCTCAGGTCATGAGCACACTCTCCCAAGTAGGCCTGAACCTTAGTCTGTGGTAGAGAGGAGGGTTTTCCAAGAAGGACAATCTTCTACTCTGCTTCTAACATCACCTGGCAGGCATCAGCAAACTGTTTGCATAAAGATCCAGAAAATAAATATTCTGGGCTTTGTTGCCCTTTTGGATTCTGTCAAAACTAGTAAACCCTGACAGTGGTGGAAAGGCAGCCAGAGGGATTAAGTAAACAAATGGAAGTGTTACAACAAATTTTTATTTACAAAAAATGGACAACAGCCAGGGTTGGCACAATGGAAGTTTGTTGACCTAAGTTTTAGAGTTATCTTTACTTCCATACTAGTTAATAATGTTTCACCAATATAATAACAATAATTTTTTCTTTTGCTGGTACTGTTCTTTGAGTTGCTGATTCAACTCTGGGGTGAGGCCTCATGAATTATGAATTTGCATTCCTAACAAGTTCCCAGGTGCACTTGAAGCAGCTGGGCCCAGGATCCTGCTTTCAGAACTTCTGTTGTAGACCTTTTATGAATGGAAAGTCCCATAGTCTTCTTCCTTTCTGATTTCAAAGAAGCCTGAGAAACAAATGTTCAAAGATAGGGACTTGTGTGTTCAAGTTACATTCTTCGCACATTATACAAGCAATAATAAGCCACAAAACATTTTCTGAATGTTGCAGACTTAAATTTGCCATTGTCCATTCTGTTTAGAGAAGAACAGCATCCTGGAATATTTTCATGAAAACTGGTGACGTATTAGAATTCAAAATATGATGATACGGATGTGCCAGCGGCAGCTATACCATGACTGTCTTTGATCTGCAAATTTCTGCTTTTCTTTTAAAGAAAATCCCTATGCTGCTATCAAATGTTGCAAAGCTAGAAGAAACTCTTCTCAAATCTCAGCAACACCATACAAATCATGATTAATCATGCCAAGGAAAGACTGATCTGTCTGTGTAATTTTAAAAATGATACTACAAAATCACATTAAATGAAGATGTGATAAAGAATATCAAACAAGGCAGTGGTGTACAGTGACATGAACCCACAGTTCTGCCTCACACCTACCTCCTCTCACAGCTACTGCACCTGCAGCAATGGGTTCCTGGCACATACAGGGCACCACACTGCCTGTGTGATAGGTGATGGCACCTGGAAGCCCACTGCCTCTGACCTTAGCTCTCTCTCTCTCGAGAGCTCTCTCTTTCAAGGTCACTTGAAAACAAAATGTTGAAACATGTGTACATACATTCACAAAAGAACATGATGCTCCACCCCAAATAATAGGAAGGAAGCATCATAGACATGAGTCCAGAAGTTCATTGATAAAATGTGTTGTTTGTTAATGTTTAGAGCTTGGGTTAACTCACACTACCTATTCAAGAGATATTGAGAGAATCCTGTTTTGAGGCCAGCCTGAGCAAAATCAAAAGCCTCTCAACCAAGAAGCCACACATGATGGCGCATGCCTGTCATTTTAGCTACTTGGAAGATATAAATAAGATTGTGGTCCAGATCAGATCTTGCTAGGTAAAAACATGAACCTCTATGTGAAAAATAAATAAAGCAAACAGGGCTAGAGGGTATGACTCAAGTACTAGAGTACCAGCCTAACAAGCATGAGGCCCAGTAGCGCGCGCGCACACACACACACACATACACAATGTAATATTGATATTTCTTTTCAAAATCTAAATATTCACTCTGATATCTTATTTGATTTTTAAAATTCTGCATAACTTTTCTTACAGAAGGATTCTAAAATTCTGTGTGCTTAGTCTCTCTGTTAGACAAACAGAGATTAGGGGAGCTGAGCCTCATTGTCACCAGGGACTGTTGTTAGGTCAGCTGAGTTACTATACATAAAGTCAATGCCTAAATGTAGTCACAGACTAAATTAGCTTATTATCATTAACATGTTGTGTGCCTGACAGGTTTTTTCTTTGATTTTTTTTAATGCTTCACATATACTTAATCATACCAAAGTCTTTACAAAAGGTTTCTTCTACTGTCTGGGCACATATAAAACAAAACAGACAACAATGGCAGGAATATAAACCAAGAAAGAAAAAACAACAACCACTACCACCAAAAGGCCCTAACACAGAGAAAACTATATTAGAGATGACACTGATATTCAGAGATTAAGCCCAAAGAAAACATAAACAGATGCTTACACTGTAAGCTGGACTGAGGACTGATGCAGTTTGTGTCAGGAAGGATTGAGATGAATGACAATTGCCAGGTGCAGGTCAAGGGATACAGAGAAGCCCTTCAGATCCACTTCCATTAAGCCAGTGCCACAAAAGCAGAAAGAGATAAGGTGGCAAGACCCCAGGGACACTGCTCTCAAGAATTATGGAAAGATGGAAGCAAGCAAAGCCAAAGTTGGAAAGGCCCAGGGCACACAGATGGTTTCCTCACAAAAGATCAAACCTCAGCTTCCAATAAGGTAACCCACACAAATGGCCTGGAGCACGGGTCACGTGATCAGAATGGCTGGAAGAAGGACAGCATGGGCACAGGCCAGCCACAGATATCATGACACAGAACCCTGACCTAGTAAGCACAGCAGCTGTCTATGTAGAAACCTTTAGAGTTCGCACTCCCCTACTACTCTCTAGGATGCCAAAGTACATGATGCCCACTGGTATCTCTACCATTGGCTGCTCTTCTAAGCATTCCAAACCCCTCTCTCCACAACAGCCCACATTCATGCAAAATGAAATTCCAGATAGAAAGGCAATTGGAGGCAGGAAAGCTTCTCAACACAGGAAAATGAGATTCTCCTGGAATGCAATAGACTTAGCACTGACTCACAAAAATCAGTTCAATTTTGGCCAAACACGTACAAGGCTTTGAAAACCATGGGAAGAACTAAGCTCAAAGGAAGACAGAGCAATCTTAGTGTACTTCCCTCAGCCATGAGGGCCTCCTGTGAACTTTCTAGACAGTTATTGTCTTTGTTTCTTGGTTATTGAATGCTAACTCAAGCTGAAATCCTAAACACCACTTCTTGAAATAGCAAACTAAGGAAATGGCAACTCTTGGAGGATTCTATTTTAAGAAATGAGAAATTCATCTTTCCTGCTTATAAAGAATTTAGGACTTCCTTATTTCTCTACATGACAATAAAGGCTATTGGATAGGCTGAGACAAAAATTCTTCATGAAAATGGAACTAACTTGAAGGAATGGGTGGGCTTGGGAAAGATGGTGAAGAATGCTGAAAGAGGTGACATTGATCATTGTACTCATAAATCAGTAGACTGAAATGAAACTCTTTGAACAACTACTTAAAGATAAAAATGTAAATAAAATACATTTTCAAAAATTCTTCATTTAATATGGTCTATTTTCAAAGTACTCCTCAATGTGGATGGGGACATGAAAGGCGTCAAGGTAAAGGAGGGGTCTGAAAATAACTTCTTTTAAGTGTGGACCTCACAAACCTTTCACAATTGACCACAAACTCCCACCAAGAACTTCTTGAAGTTGCTGGATTTGAAGGAAGAATTCTTATTCTCCTGTAACTAGGGTGAGCAGAAAAACTTCACAGCTGCCTTCTATCCTATGCACGAATGTCACCAGCAGTCATGTGTTTCTTTCCTCCACATATTTACTGAGTTGGTTTCATGTGCACAGTGCCAGATCTTGGAGGAACCAAGGCCCTGTGGTTGAAAATCACTGTTTTCCAAGCACATTTATTTAAAGTCCCACAGTTCACCAGAGGCAGCAGTCATGTGGAATATACAGTGTCCTTTAAGAAAGTTGTCTTCATACGCTGAGTTTTCTCATCACATTGGATTTCCAGAGTTCTGAAACTCCCAGAGACTGATGCCCTCAGAGGGCTCAGAGTGAGCGGGAAAACATGTATAAGAAAAGCAGAATGAGTGATAGCAGGCAGGGCCCAGGAGTGGCATCTGACCCTCTAGAAAAAATCTGCTCCCAGCTTGATTGTAAGATCCATGAGGGGAAAGACATCTGTTTGATTCACTGCCTTCTCCAGCATCTGGAACGGTACCTGGCATGGTGTGGCCTGCAGTCATGAACTGTAAGATGAATGGGGGAGCCTGACAACATGGGACTTCCTAAAGGAGGCCACAGCAACAGGACAAATCAACCAGGACTCGGGGTGGACTGAGGACTTCCTGCAGAGGAATAGGAAACTCAAGGGAACATGCTAATAGATGTGACTGAAACTTATATAGACAGAATGGAGGAGTTAAAAATACAAAAGGATGGATACGAACGCAATTGGTGGAGTCTCCTAAGACTTTGGAAGGTACACTGAAACTCCAGTTCTAACAGATTCACTAAGAGCAGGGTCCTCCTTGAGTGTGAGTTTAGGAAGCAAGGAGTTGGTAAGTGGGTCAGAGCTATAGACAGGTCAAAGTGACAGTAGGCCAACATGGAAAGCATTAGTCTCTGGGAGTTTCAGAACTCTGGAAATCCAATGTGATGAGAAAACTCAGCGTATGAAGACAACTTTCTTAAAGGACACTGTATATTCCACATGACTGCTGCCTCTGGTGAACTGTGGGACTTTAAATAAACGTGTTTGGGGAACAGTGATTTTCAACCACAGGGCATTGGTTCCTCTGAATGAATGGTTCTGAGAAGAACAGCTCCTCATGAGGGGTTCTTGTTCCATCTTCATGCATGTAGCCCTCAATTTCTCCTCTAAAATATGCGTGAATACTTGAAGGGTACTCATATGAGGGAATGCCAATGGTTAGCTCTCCTTTGGCCCCATCCTAAGACTCCAGCCTATAGGAAAAGATAAGGCCAGGAGGGCCATGGTGCGAAGGGCACTGAAGAAGCCAGAAAAATGAGGAGAGGACCACGGGGATTGAGATGTACAACTAGGTCCCACACCTTCCTTCAGCCAGAGAAAAACAATAATAAATGTGTTCTTTTACCCTTAGACAAGGTCACAAAAACAGGACTACTGTGGGGGGAGGGACATTGCCTTTAAGTACAACATTCAAAAGGCTGAAGCAGGAGAATGATGACTTCAAGGTCAATCTGGGTAATACTGTGAGACTTGCTCTCAAAAGAAAAAAAAAGATAAAATAATCAATATATGATCTCATTCTCATCAGTAATAAGGTTCTTCTCCAGACTGCTCCTTAGTGTGTATAGGGAAATGATTGAGAAGCTGTTCAGATGCACACTTTTTTTTCTTAATGTGCAGGAGGTTTGCTAATATTAGCACTACAAGCTGCACAAACATCTGAACCTGAGGTCATCTGTGTAGTTCTCGTTTTATAGATCCAGAAACTCAGGAGCCTGGGAGGGAAGGGACCGCTCTAGGGCCTCAGAGTCTCCTGAACCCTATCCAGGCTCTCCCTAGCTCTACCCCTACCAAAAAGCAGGGCCTATATTTTAATTTTTACACTGTCACTGGAAATAGATATATAAACGTAGGAGGAAAATGAGAACTTTTCTAAGTTTTGGTTTTGAATTAAGCGCAAGCCTGAACATTAAAGCAAAAAGTTACTGATTTGCAGACTTCAGAAGAATATATAAGAGCACCAAACTCTCAGACATCTAAATAGATTTCCCACTGCAGACTTTTTTTCCCAGAGCAGACTTTTTATTATTTTTATTTTATTATTATTATAAGATCATGGATCTTACAATGGATCTTATAATCAAGCTGGGAGCAGATTTGTTCTAGTGGGTCAGATGCCACTCCAGGGCCTTGCCTGCTGTCACTCACTCTTATTTTCTTCATACATGTCTTTCCACTCACTGTGAGCCCTCTGAGGGAAGAGGCTGAATCATTTTATCTTGCGTTCTCCAAGACCTGGCACTGTGCACATGAACCAGCTCAGTAAATACGTGGGGAAAAGGAACACATGACTGCTGGTGATACACTTTTTAATTCACTTTTTTTAATATTAAAAACACTAATATGTGGTTGAATTTCCCTCTTTAAAAAAAAGTCAAAGCTTGGTGTCAGTAGCTCATGCCTGTAATCCTAATACTTAGGAGGCTGTGATCTGAGGATTGCAGTTTAAAGCTAGCATGGACTATAAAGCCTGCAACACTCTTATCTATAATTAACTACCAAAAAAGCCAGAAGTGGATCTGTAGATCAAGTGGTAGAGTGCTAGCCTTGACTATAAAAGCTGAGGGATAGTATCCAGGCCCAGAGATCGAGCCCCAAGACCCACACAAAAATAAGAAAAACAAAAACAACAATAATAAAACCCAGTCAAATTAGAAAACTGTATTAATAAGACATGTCTATATGAAGTAAACTTGGCCACTTCAAAATCAATCAACTTGTCAGAAGGAAAAGAGTCTGGGATATGTATATATCATTTTTATAATCAATCATGGCTTTCCAATATAATTATTGTACTTATTAATATTTACAAAACTAAAGACTAAAGAGAAGCTTGTCTAATAAAGAGTATCTGGAAGAAGAAGATCACAGAAGACAATGAGGAAGGGGCTGGGAAGATGGCTCAGTGGTAGAGAGCTTGCCTTGCATGCCTGAGGCCCTGGGTTCGATTCCTCAGCACCACATAAGCAAAATGAAAAAGGCCGGAAGTGGCGCTGTGGCTCAAGTGGTAGAGCACTAGTCTTGAGCTGAAGGACAGCGCCCAGGCCCAGAGTTCAGGCCCCACAACCGGACCCCCCCCCAAAAAAGAAGACAATGAGGAAATAATAAAGATGATGATAATAGTAACATCAATTAACTAAGCCTCATGGAACTGCTCCATTTGGTTAGCTGTGCTCAGTGGGGAACTCAGTGTTGCTAGGAATATTAATGAGGAGAGGAAGACAAGATAGGAATTTAGGGACTTCCTTCATGCCTCTTGCCCTTGAAGTCACATGAGGGCACTGATAGGAATGGGAACAGCTCTCTTGTAAATACAGTGCTTAAAACATCTTTCTTTTCTGATACAGGGCACTGGACAAAACTTGCCAAAGAACAGTGTAAGGAGACCATGGAGAGAAGAGAGATAGTGTCTGAGGTACACCTGCTTGTCTCTCACACACACTCTCCAGCTCTCTGATGCTGCCTACCGTTTTCTACAGGCAAAAAATAATGAAAGCAATAAAAGAAAAAGATCCATCATGGAGCTTTATAAGTAATTTTATCATAAATGCATACTACAGACTTTTCTAGACTCCTTTTTATTAAAGTATTATGCCCTGAAATTCTTAATTCTTCCTAGGCCAATGAAAGCTATTTTTGAAACTCTGAAATAAAAGAGGTTAAGTAATTAAAAGGCTCTTAAAAGCAAGTTTTAGTCAGATTTCAAAATAATTTAAGCTACTTATTTTGAGCTATCAGCATGGGAGATGGAATGTTCATGAACACATACAAGGGTCTAGTAAGAGTTTCTTCAGACTTACAGACAGAAAGACAATAGAGACTAGTTATGGCAGGTGTCAGGAGTCAGAATTTAAATTCTTGTCGCCTAAGTGTTGACTATAGTTGGATATGGTATATGGGGTTCACTGTACCAGTGAAATGGGTCCCAAGGCTCAGTCCCAGACCCACAGCACTTTCTGTACCAAGAAAGTTGCCCCAGATTTCCCCAACAGCAGGTCTGAGGTGAAGTCTGGCACTGTTTCAACAAACTCTATGGTGCCTTCAGTAAGCATATTTGAGAATGTCATATGAAAAAATTTTTTTTAATTTTTGGTGTTAGTGTTTATTGGCAATGTGGCCTTTGGTACAAGTTACTTGGAACCTCAAAGTGCTCCTGTCTGCCTCTGTAAAAGTAGTGATTTCTCACACAGTGAGACCAAAAGAGGACATTCAGGAGAGAACCACAAAGGTGCAATGCCTATGAGCCTCTTTATATCTATCTATATAAAATAATATATATTTTTATTGAAATAAACTCCAAGATATAGAAACAAGAAACCTCTCCTTTTTTCTTAATTTTTATTTTGTGATGATTCGGTCTTCTTTTCTTTGTGTATGGAATATTCATATATATAATTTTAGGAGGAGGGGAACTCGAGGGAAAAAGGGTGAAAAAGTGCAGCAGTGGAGTTCACTGGACACTGATGAAGTGAACTATACAACTCATGGGTGAAGTCAGGAGGGAGGGACTAGGAAAGAATGAGAGAACAGAAGACACTGTAAAAATGGAAATGTACTCATTACCTGACTCGTAATTGTAATCCCTCTGTATATTACCTCTATAATAGCAATAAGGTAAATTATAATTTAACAAAAGTAGTGATTTCTATTCTCATCCTGGCAGTTGTTTCTATTCTCATTCTCAGTTATTGAAGAGTCCCAATATATCATGTCTGGTAGGTACCAGGTCACAATCTACCAGACAGAGGCTGTGGGAGGATCACATGTAGTTATGTAGAAGTCAGATTCAGTGGACTTACAGTCCCTAGGACATAAATTTCTTGGCTACATACATCTTATTTCATTAAAGCGCTCAAAATTCTGCATGGTGGCATTATCATCTCTCAGATGATGACAGTAAAGGTAGAAGATGTCGATGATTTAGTGAGGATCATATAGATGGTGACCTGGCCTCTCCTGACTTCAAGTGCAGGTCCTTCCCTATCACACAAGAACAAGAGCATAACACCACCTAACCAATGCCTCAGCTCCTCCTCCTCCTCTACATGGGGAAGCCTACATGGCCATACCACCAGAGACAACAAAGCTTGCTGGGCTTTCTGCCTACCTTTGAGCTTGCAGGGCTTCACAATCTCACCATGGTAGAGACTGAAGGCAAAGACACCGCTTAAATGACACTCTTCTCCCGCTACAAGAATATTTTTTAAAGATTCAGGCAGGTACAGGTAGTTCATGCCTATAATCTTGGCTATTCAGGAGACTGAGATCTGAGAATTGTGATTAGAGGCTAACCTAGGCAAGAAGTCTGTGAGAGTGTTACCTCCAATCAACCACCAAAAAACAAGAAGTAGAATTGTGGTTCAAGTGATAGTGTCTCAGCCTTGAGCATAAAGGCTCCAGGACACAGCCCAGGCCCTGATTTCAAATCCCCCAGAACTGGCACCAAAAGAAAAGGCATTAAAAAAATCTTATTCC